AGCACATTGCAGCCTTAGCTCGAATACGTGGATTTCTATTCTTAAGATAAGGCTGCAGTTTTGGTAACAGCAGTAAAGGAGAAATCCAAGTAGTCATAGCAACTAATGCCCTCTCAGCTGCCTCGCAAACAAACCGTTTATCTTGTGAAGACTTGAGAAGAAGTTGTGTAAGCTGCATCATTAGCAATTATCTTCTTTTAAGAATATATAGTTATTCACTTTCAACAGCTCTTCTGAACAGAGCAAAGTAACAATGAGTTGACACAAATCTTAAAATATAGAAGTACCAGAGGATCTAATGCATCAATTATTTGGTCATTGTATGCACTGAAAATGTCCTCAGAAGTCATAATTGCAGTTTTACAGACAGCACTTCTTGGATTCTTTAAGGACTTGACTATAAGTGGAATCAGCTCTCCCCTGTTCATGCAATATTGTGGCGAAGAACACATTTGTTAAACGATATTTGATCAGTATTATGAAGAAAATATTAAAATGAAATATCACATCCAATCAGATTGATTTTGTAAGTATTTGGGACTTACACAGTACCAAGCATCTGTTCCTTGTGAAAAATTGATAGGCGACGTGCATTATTTAATGCCTCACATACCATAACCCAATCCTTAGAGTCCAAGCCCAGTAGAAGTGTCTGACATATGAAACACAAATACATGCACATTAGCTTAAATTTTTAACGGCAACACCAGCAAAAAAGATATCCAAAAGGGAGAACCTAATACCTTCAGAGTTGTATCAACATCTTCCACATCACTCAAATTCTCAGATTCAATATACTCTACTTCCATATTACATACATCATTTCTGGGGTTATCTGTTTCAACTCCACTGGCATGAACTGAAAATTGAGGGGGAAGACACTTGCGTACGCCGTTCTTCAGTATTTCCATTGGCATTTCCCAAACATGGCTTGACAAAACTCCCTTTACCAGAGTTGTCAATCTTCCTCTCAGATGCTGGTAAAGTATTCAGATCTCTAAGTGCATTTGCCGACATTACGGCTTCCATTCTGAAACCAGAAGGAAATAATATCAATACAATCCTTTCCAAAACATCCAAATTAGACTTTCTAATTTCTTCAGAAGGATGATATTGAATTGCCTAATCAAGTGACTAACCCCCCTCATGAAATCCAATGTTCTTTTTTCAGGTAAAATTCTGTAAGGTATTTATCTATTCGAATTCTCTCCCTTGCCATTATTTTAGTTTTTTTTTACTAGTAGTTAAATGTATATATCAAGCTCTTGGTTATATGAAATCAGCCCTCATGTCAACATATCATCGTAAACCAAGTCTACAACACAAGCACTTCAGACTACCTAACATAATCGTATTGAAATCATATAGTCTCTCTAAAAAACCAGACTTCCTGATGCATATAATAAAAAAGTATCACAATTGCCTTCAATTCTAATTGGTTGCAAATACATCCTTCTTTCCAACCTTGCCAGCCAGTGTTACCTTTAAATATTTTCCAATCCTTGCTCTTCAAGTGCAAGTTATAGCTTTATCATTATATTTCAATGTCTTTAAGCTCTTGCTTTTATGAAATTAGCCCTCACATTAAGATCTGATTGTGAAGTCCATAATACAAGCACTTAGGCTACCTGATGTCCTCTTATTGAAATCCGGTACTCCTCTTTTTTTCCTCAAAAGAAAAAGAAAAGGACTACCTGAGGTATATAATAAAAACAGTATCATAATTACCTTCAGTTTAAATTAGAAAATTGCAAATGCATCCTTCTTTCTGGACTTTCCAGATTGTGTTAACTTTAGACATTTCCGGTCCTCATTCCTCCAGTGTCTAGTTGGCCAACTTCTTCTGTCCTTACAGATTTTATTATTACATTTCAATATCTTTAAGATAGTTTTAATTTTCCTAAAGTAATCTCACTTTCACATAAAAGAATCTATAGGACAGACTTTAGTTACTACAACTAGAAACTATGCAATTTCAGGACTATTAAGTTAGTAACATCTACCAGTAACTTATCTTGAGGTACATTCACCCAAACATTTGGCTTACTTTCCTATGGAACAGCTCATGGGCATAAACCATGTACCTGCTTCACACACATCCGAAGCAGACTTATTTCTTAAGAATCACAAGGACAAGTGAACAAACATCACAATCGTGTCAGTGCTTATGCACATATTATCTTCCAAGCTATTTATGACTTCCATTGAATACATCCCCAGCTTAGATCAGACTTGAATCAGTTGAGCCCTTTTT